TCTTTCATCTGGATTGGCTATCAACAACTCTGAACGCTCCAACCACTCCTCCCAGTGAGTCCAACGTTCTCTCTTTAGGTTTGTGGGTCCAATGTTCTCTCTCTAGCCCGTTGGTCCAACGTCCTCTTTTCTGGGCCCGTTGGCCCACCACTGTCTGATAGTCAGTGCGTTAGCCCGGGAGGCTTGTAAGACTTATTTACTGTCCCTGCAATTATCAAATGAATTTTTCTGTACTTCGCGGACCACTTGCCGGTAGGCCACCAATCCTAAAATTGCTCTCAGTTTAAGTTTAAACACACTTAATTATGGAATTCTCTCAAAACTAGTGTCCGAAAAGATAAATGCACTTTAATTTTACAAGTAATCAAATCAATTCTTATAAATCTTTCTATATAAACTAAAAATCGGGATGTTACATATTTGGTTGGTTAGTTTGTTAAGAAAGAAAATGCATTACAGAAGAGAAAAAAAATATAAAATAAGTGAATAAAATAGTAGATAAAGGACCGATGGCAAACGTGATATTAAAATGTTTTGTGTGGCCTACAGCATCATCATAAGTTTATTATGATCATATAAACTAAATAGTGTATGTATATTATATAAGAAATTAAACTATAATATATCTACTTATTACGCAGGGCAACAACCTAACATTCTTGGTCCTTACCACAAGAAACACGTTTTCTATTGCAAAAAAAAAAAAAAACAAACAAATTGACAGGGTTTGGAGAAATATAAAAACCAGCGGGTAAATTGAAACCCCTGGAGACTACATCCCGAAAAGGAGAAGCGGCGAGCAACACATTTCTAGACATTATAAACTGAAAAAAAAAAGTCGAAACTTTAAAATGAACCAGAGCCAAAACCGCTTAAATATTTTTAAAAGTGAATGGTTTTAAAATATTTAGAAAATATATTTTTTGTTTTCTTGCAAAGATGAGGTCTATTTACCCATTTCTTACTATTACATAAAGTAGGTGTCAAATAATTATATTTTCAAGCATAATTTTGGTCACAAAATTTTCCAACTAAAAACAATATATTCTGAGATTAGTCAGATTCAATTTAAACCAGAATAAAGCACATAGTACACCGAGAATAAAAAATAAAACTCTCTTTGTTCTGTCTCATTTGACTTGTATAGTTTTATTCTAAAAGTAAAAATTTACGAAATTGAATACTCTTTTGGAAAGCAAAATTCTATCTTTAGTTCTCCAAAGACTATCCAAAAAAAATTTCCAACCTTTTTGCATCACTAGTTGATTATTGACGACAACAAAATAAGTTTAATTTATTCGATTATATATTTATTGAAATAATTGTAAATGTTTTTAAGTTATTCAACATTATTTACTTTGTTTTAGAGGGGTTTATTTCGGTTGACTTTTATTTGCGCCGATTCATTCTCTTAATTATGCTATAAATTGATAATTTGTCTATGAGCAAAAGGAACATGATGAACATATGCTTTGGTTTGTAACTTTTTTAGAGTATAAATGCCACTTGTTTATTCATCGACGTGTATTGCATTTTTGGTAGCTTTTCTTTCACGATATGTTTTCCTTAAATCCCAACCCCCTTATAATATTATATCAATTTTCTACTACTACTTTTTGTTGCAAGAAAAAAAAATTCCACTACAAGATAACTATTTAGCCGAGTCATCTAATACTGATTAAACTGGTTACCTTTTTTTTGTCAACGACTTGTGACTTTGTTATTTGTAACTAAAGAAAATTAAAAGATAAGTTATATGTTAGCTGTGTCGAACCTATGATGGAATCATATGGTTTATAAGGAAGCCCGATAAGTAGTTAATTTATCCATCCATAAAAAAAATATTTGATATCTGAATCCAGAAAAATAAAATAATATAGTTAAACTTTATACAAAAAGAAACAAATCATTTGAAATACAACAATTTCTAAGGAGAATAATACTCCAAATCACAGAACTTAATTATACTAGGATATCGAGTTTGAGAATGAAAATGTACCCATCGAGGTTAGAGATAGGCTTTCCACTCGTGATAGATTCCAGAGTTGTGGTTACAAGGCCAAATATTTACTTGCTTTGTAACCATTCACCGTAATCTCGATCACATCTGTTCTTTTGTTGCACTTTTGCAACTCAAATATATATTTTATTTTTCACTCACCCAATGTTGATATCTCCCTTGTCTTTCGATGTCATCGTTATCTGGATCAGATATGCTTCCACCTAGGGGCGGATCTATCTTGTCCAAGGAGGTGGCAGCTATACCACCACTCAAACTTTTCTTTATTAGTATCTTGTTTAATAAAAATAAATTATACCACCATAAAAAATTAAAATATTACTCTCACATAATTTTTTTTAGTTTAAACCAAAAAAACCAATCTTTCAGTATTTTATCCCAAAAATTATTTAGATCTGCCACTGCTTCCACCAGCCCTAAGTTAAAGCTTTTCTACTTCGGTTTAATTTCTCTTTTTCTCTTTAATTTTTGTAAGAGCTTATGATAAGTAATCCAAAATGATATTCATGTTGGGAGTTTTCAAAACAGAGATAAATAATTATTCAGAAGAAAAAGGAAAAATGTATCGACCAGGATCGCATTTCTTATCCCGAATGTGACTATATATTTAAATAATTAATTATATGTTTTTCACATTTCTTGTCTTTGATCAAACTTTGCTAGTTTAATCCAATTGTTTAACAAGAGAAAAGAGGATATTTAAATATTTTGCGCCAGAAAATGTGATACCGCATTTTACACTTGTGCAAATTTTTTTTATCATCTGAAATCTTTTTGATTATATTAGAAAAACTATTACAAAAATAATATTTCAACTGATAATCTATTCGTTCCACTTGAATCCACGCAGCTTGGAACCACAACGAACGATTTTCTTTGCACCAAATTAAAAATTTCTTTATAAACTTGTTTTTATTAATAATCTGTAGAAATCGCAACTTTCGGGGATTGAAACTATGATTGAAACCCAAACCTCTGGGTGTGAAAGCATTAATGAACTTTTAATCAACCACTAAATTAAGAAATTTTTACACTCTTGCTATTTTAAATTCTAGTTTATTGTTCCACAATATATATATATATATATTTTCTACTATCCTTACTTTAATGCCACGTCACAAATGTTAAAAACATGTTGACAAATCATAAAGACCAATAATAAAACTAAGCTTTCTTTAAAAGAAAAAGAAGATAATGTCAAAATATGACTCCACGTATGTCTATCTCTCTCTTTTTTTTCTCTCTATATAGTTATGTCTATTGTCTATTTGGTTGGTATAAATATAAGAGTATATATCCATTTCCTTCAATTTCTATGTGACAATAGTTATAAAATATTGGTCTACATTGTTTATATGTTCACATAGTTAGCAAATCTGGCTCGGATATGTAGGTCCAACGCGTCTAGTATTTATCCACTCAGATTTTCTTCAATCTTGTAAAATAAAAACGAGCTCCACGTTTCCATATAACAAAAAATGAAATTACCACTTTAACAACAACCCCATTTTATGTTTATTTGTTTGAAATATACGAAAATAACTTACGGAGTTGCCTGTTCTTGTATCTTTAGCCGGAAAATATAATGAATTCAATGTTATATATTCATTCGACAATTGTCGACTAGGACAAATAAAGATTAGATCGATGAACTAATTTTTGTGGTAAATATGGAAATTGGAAGACTGATTTTGTTTATTTCCACTATAGTTTTTAATAGTGGTTGGTCAGTCTAAATGTATTTAATAACAGAACAACTCAGTTTTTTTTTCATAGATTTTGGGAAAAAAAATAGATAGTAGTGAGATTATAAGGTAAATATTTATTTTGAGAATAGAATTGGTAGAATTACCCAATTACATATACAGTAAAAACTCTATAAATTAATAATATTAGAATTTTAGTATTTTATTAATTTATAAAATTATTAATTTATAGATTTTAAATTTATTTATTTTTATTTTTTATAAATTTTTAAAAAGATTTTTTAGAGATTATTTTTAAAAAAAAATTCTAAAATTAAAAAAAAATTACAAGAAAATTTTAATTTAAAATAAATAAATAAAATCACTGAACTCATATTTTAGTAGATTATCTCATTTATATATTTATATCAGATTTTTAATGCTAATTATTAATTTATGATATTATTGAGATCATATATTTACGTAGAAATTTTGTTAAAATTATTATCTTATTCAATTATATCATATTTGAACAATCTAACTCGAAATTATAAAAATTATTAATTTATAGTGTTTATTAATTTATCAAATATTAATTTATAAACTTTTTTACTGTATAGTGTATTATCAATTCAAATTTAGAAAAAAAAAACTCTAGTCACTTCAAATTATCTTATAAATAGAAAAAATGGAAAATATAATTATCTTACAAATGGAAAAAATGGAAAGTTAACTTTCCTAATTTGGCTATTTAATATAGCTATACATTGACAAAAACAAGGTAAAGGAAGAAAGTAAATGTATTAGTCCGAATTAGTAGTATTTGAGCTTAGTTTTAGACATTGGAACTTGGGACACCTCGAATAACCCTAACAACTTGGAGAGATAAATACACATTAAGAGGCTGTCAATTTCTCTGTATATTAAAAACCTAATTTTTTTTAACCAAATAAAATAAAATATAAAACTAAAATTTAATATGTTAATGCCTAGTAAATGTACTGTCCACCCCACCTAACACTTTGTTTGGTGTATCGGTCAAAATTATTTATAAAAAAAAAATAAACGGGAAACCGATAAATCAAGTTTTCGAAGAGAAAAATACAAACGCCAAATCAGACAACGTCGTCGTCTAGTCCACGTAGAGTAGACTTCTCATCTTTTTGACCGGTAATAACCGGTAAACTCAAATTCTGCTCTCCCTCTTTTTTACCAGACCCGTTGAAAAACTCTGTTTAAAGTCCCGTTCCGTTCCGTTCTTCCGTCTATATAAATAAGCAGCTTCTGCACTCAATCTTTTTTTTTTCTTTTTTTTCTCCTTCTTCTTCCCTCTCTCCCTATAAGGCTATAAATCTCCCATTTCACGGTGACTTTCATCGGAAACCATCATTTCACTTCGCCGCTCCGACGACTTTTTCAGTTTATCATCGCCGTCTTCGCGGGAGGTTCGATTCCTCTTGTCCCTTAACAAACAATCTCACTTGGATTTTGTTTTCTTTAGTTTCATTTTCCGATTCCGTTCTGTAGATTTGAGATCTGGTTTTTGCTTCTTTCGTAGACTGATTTTGCAAAAAGTTGACTCTGTGTCTGTTGTTGGATCTTGATCTGCTTATGTTTTATTTTACGATTTGGAAAGAGAAGTTAGGAAGCGTAATTTCTAGCATTAAATTGTAGATGCAATGTGGTTTTTTTAGTTTTGGATACTTATTGAAACGAATTTCCTATTTTTTTTTGGCTTACGGATTTGAGATTTGACTGTGTATATTGGATAAGTTAATATCGCGTGTTTCAACGACGTAAGAGTTTTTTTTTTTTTTTTTTTTGATTATTGGTTACAAAGCTTAAAGTAGATTCGATTCAAATGATATTAACAATTTCAATATCTTTGTAATAATCTTGATGATCTTTGTTCTTGATTTAGATCTTGGTCTACTCAATATACAAAGACTTCTGATCAATTAAAAAACCGAGATGGAGCCACTTGGACTAAGAGCTGTTGGTTCACACTGTTCTTTATCGGAGATGGACGATCTTGATCTGACTCGAGCGTTAGACAAACCGAGGTTGAAGATCGAAAGGAAGAGATCTTTTGATGAGAGGTCAATGAGTGAACTATCTACTGGTTACAGTAGACACGACGGTATGCACGATTCTCCGAGAGGCAGGTCGGTTCTTGACACGCCTCTCTCGTATGCTAGAAACTCCTTTGAGCCTCATCCTATGATGGCTGAGGCTTGGGAGGCTCTAAGGAGGTCAATGGTCTTCTTCCGTGGTCATCCTGTTGGTACTCTCGCAGCCGTCGATAATACTACCGACGAGGTCTTAAACTACGACCAGGTAACAATCCTCAAAACGTTTTGTTGATTGATTGACAGTTAGTGGATTGGCTCATAGGTCTTATTTACTAGATTAGGCTCCAACATATTGTTGAATGTTCTGTTTTTGTAGGTGTTTGTGCGGGACTTTGTACCGAGTGCACTGGCGTTTCTGATGAATGGAGAATCGGACATAGTGAAACACTTCTTGCTCAAGACACTTCAGCTTCAAGGTTCAGAGAAGCGTGTGGACCGGTTCAAGCTAGGAGAAGGTGTGATGCCTGCAAGCTTCAAGGTGCGTCACGATCCTATCCGAGAGAAAGACCATCTCGTTGCAGATTTTGGTGAAACCGCCATTGGAAGAGTGGCTCCTGTAGATTCAGGGTTCTGGTGGATTATCCTTCTCCGTGCTTACACCAAATCTACAGGAGATTTGACTCTCTCAGAGACACCAGAGTGTCAAAAGGGAATGAAGCTGATCCTGTCTTTATGCTTAGCTGAAGGGTTTGACACGTTCCCGACACTGCTTTGTGCTGACGGATGCTCCATGATTGATCGGAGAATGGTAATTAAGAACATCCTTGACCTTGATCAAGCTTAGAGACAATAGTATATATATAGATGTTTGGTTATCATAATGTGTTTTTTGTTTGTTTTGATAAATAAAGGGTGTTTATGGGTATCCAATTGAGATTCAAGCTTTGTTCTACATGGCTCTGAGATGTGCCTTGTCGATGCTAAAGCCCGACGGAGATGGCAGAGAGGTCATTGAGAGGATCACTAAGCGACTTCACGCGTTGAGCTTCCATATGCGCAATTATTTCTGGCTCGATTACCAGCAACTCAATGACATTTACAGGTATACTTTCTTTGCTTTAGATGATATAGTAACCCAAAAAAAACAAAAATATTTACACTCTTACTATTTTTTTCTGAAGGTACAAGACGGAGGAATATTCACATACGGCGGTGAACAAGTTCAACGTGATGCCTGATTCTATACCGGAGTGGGTTTTCGATTTCATGCCTCTCCGAGGAGGCTACTTTGTGGGAAATGTAGGACCCGCCCATATGGATTTCCGGTGGTTCGCACTAGGCAACTGCGTCTCCATACTCTCCTCTTTAGCCACTCCAGATCAATCCATGGCCATTATGGATCTTCTTGAGCACCGGTGGGATGAGCTTGTAGGCGAGATGCCTCTCAAGATTTGTTATCCTTGCCTCGAGGGCCACGAGTGGCGTATCGTCACTGGCTGTGACCCCAAGAACACACGGTGGAGCTACCACAACGGTGGATCTTGGCCAGGTCTATTTTCTTTCCCTTGAGACTGATTGAATAAGACATTTATCATTTTTCATTGATAACTAAGACATTTATCATGTTAATAAGACTGATTGCATTTTTGTTTCTGCTTCAATCTGCAGTTCTGCTGTGGCAGCTAACAGCAGCGTGCATCAAGACGGGAAGACCGCAGATCGCGAGACGCGCGATTGACCTCATAGAATCGCGTCTTCACAGAGACTGTTGGCCAGAGTATTACGACGGTAAGCTCGGACGGTACGTAGGGAAACAGGCTAGGAAATACCAGACGTGGTCGATAGCTGGTTACTTAGTGGCTAAAATGTTGCTAGAAGATCCTTCACACATCGGTATGATATCTCTCGAAGAAGACAAACTCATGAAACCGGTTATCAAGCGATCAGCGTCTTGGCCGCAACTTTAGAAAACCGATCTCGGTTTTTGATCTGTTCTGTATCTGCCACGGTATAATTTTTTGTTCACTTTCCTTTTTTTTTGGGCTGTTTGTATGATAATGTTATTCAAGACTTGTGCGGGAGAAGAAGTGGACATAGACTTTATTGATTGCTTCTTTCTTGCTTTGCAAGTAAGAAGAAAAAAATGGGAAAAGCTCGTTTGCCGTTTTTTCTTTATTATCAAGATTACACTTTTTCATTTGCCAGACTTGCAATCGACAAATTAGTCATAATGTGACTTTTTGCTGGCTCTACATCGTTGTTAGATGTAGTGCAAATCGTCCCTATTATTCTTTTTAATTTTTGGGTTTGTTATAGGCCCATAGAGACAAATGTATATTGTACCATAACAGAGATATGACCATCAATTTATGACCTCAAACAATTTCACGATCAGAACCTAAACCACACAAATTTTGATGGTTTAAGAAACTGAAGAACAAAGGAAAAAGACTGTAACTTGAGACAAAAATGACAACTTTATTGAACGTATCTGCAAATGATTACATGACATCCTTTATATAGGCAAAACGAGAAAGAAGCCCTAGACAGGTGTCTGATAGCTAGTCGTCACACGATTCGAGAACGCTGAACGGATTGCTCAGCAAGATTGTTTGTGGTCTTCGTACGGAGGATGACTATGGTTTGTCTTCATCTGCAGAGGATAAAACACCAACGGCTATCTCTGTTTTTGAGTCGTTGGGCTTGACGAGATTGTTATGGCCCATGTCTTCATTCTTCAGATGGACCGCGTCTTCAACATTCTTTTCATCAGGCCCATTCATCGGTTTTGAATCCTCAACATTTGGAGGCAAATGTTTATATTCACTATTACACCCCCTCAAACTTGTGGTGGGAGGAAGACCAACACCAAGTTTGTATCTGAGATCAGCAAACGGAGCATGAGGAAGCGACTTCGTGAATATATCGGCAAGCTGTTGAGCCGCTGGTATTTGTCTGACCACAAGAGCACTATGGGCAACTCTTTCCCTTACATAGTGAAAATCAGTATCAAAATGTTTGGATCTGGCGTGCATTGCAGGATTGGCTGTCAGATACACAGCTGACAGATTATCGCAATACATTTCGGGTGTTGCAGGCTGTGGCAGACCAATGGCTTCAAGATGAGACGTCATCCACTTAAGCTCAGTTGCAGCCAAAGACAGAGTACGATACTCAGCTTCAGTAGAAGATCTAGATACAGTAGGATGTCTTTTAGCTGACCAGGATATGATATTTGTACCAAGAAAGGTACAAAAACCACCAGTAGACCTTTGAGTCTCATGACAACCAGCCCAATCTCTATCGCTATAAACTCTTAGCATGGAATCTGTATCAGCTACCAAGTTAACTCCCATTTGATAAGTGCCTTTCAAATACCTGAGTATACGCTTAAGAAGGTTGAAATCAGCTACCGATGGCTTGTGTATTTTCTGACAAACATAATTAACTGCAAACTGTATATCAGGCCGAGTCAGAGTTAAATACTGCAATTTTCCTGCTAAGCTTCTGAAATAGGTGGGATCTGAAAACTCTTGTTGTTGACCTGCAACTTTACTCAGCGGTAGAGGCAAAGGAGTAGGCATTGGGACACAGTCGGCCATACCTGCAGTTATAAGGAGATCCATTGTGTACTTCTCCTGACTAAGAAACAAGCCTTCTGGATGAAAGTGAGCTTGAATTCCCAAGAAGTAATGTAGTGGCCCCATGTCTTTCATCCTGAATTCTTCATTAAGGCACAAAAGAAGCTTTTGAATTAGCTCATTATTGTTGTCTTTTAAAACCATATCATCAACATAGAGCAAAAGGTGCATCACATCGTTGCCCTTAAGATACACGAACAATGAAGGATCAGGGATACTGCAACTGAAGCCAAAGGCAATTAAGAATGTACTAAATTTGTCAAACCAGGCACGAGGTGCCTGCTTAAGACCGTAAATGGCTTTCTTGAGTTTACAGACATAATCAGGTCGAGCCGGATCCTCAAAACCAGGAGGTTGTGTCATGTAAACTGTCTCCTTTAGATCACTGTGCAGAAAGGCGTTCTTGACGTCAAGCTGCTTGATGTCCCAACGATGTGTAACAGCAACATGAAGAATATACCTAACTGTGGCAGTACGAACCACTGGACTGAAAGTCTCAACAAAATCAACTCCTTCCTCTTGGTTGTAACCTTTTGCAACTAAACGAGCCTTAAGCTTGTCCATCAAACCATCTGAGTGAAGCTTAGTTTCAAAAACCCATCTGCAACCTAAAACATTGTCAGCCATATCAGGTGGAACAAGATCCCAGGCATAGTTTGATGTTCTTCATTCATCGCATTTGTCCACCCTGGGTCTTTTAAAGCAGATTTAACCGTTTTAGGTTCAGGATAGTTTGCTTTGACCGTGAATAAGGCATATTTGGGATTTGGTTTAATGATTCCAGCTTTACCCAGTGTAATCATTGGATGACCTGAATCCTCAACATTTGGAGAAGAGAATGTGCTCACAGGGTACATCGAAAGATTCTCAGACAGAGGTGATGACTCATTGACACTCGGAGAGCAAAACATAACCGAATCATTGAGAGACTGGACAGGTGAAGATGTAGAGGGAACATGGCCTTGTGTGTCTAACCTCACTAATGAAACATGACATGTGAAGATGTAGAGGGAACATGGCCTTGTGTGTCTAACCTCACTAATGAAACAGGACAGCTGTTGCCAATAGGAACGGAGTCAAGGTCCGCCGTACACTCAGAACTGACTGTTTCATTAGGAGTAGACAACACAGGACGAACAGGAAGATGCAAAGAAGATACAGTTGGATCAGGAGTTGGTGTAGCTTGATGATCAGGAGAGACAGACTCGGATGATTCTGGTGGAACAAAACTCTTTGTCCACGCTGTCAGAAGAGGACTGTGAGCAGGAGACTGAAAGCGCCTGTAAACGATGGCAAAAGGAAAGTCTTGTTCATCGAACAAGACATGTCGGTTGATGTAAACTCGATTGGTAGGAGGATGAAAGCATCTGTATCCTTTATACTTCTCGTTGTACCCCAAAAAGACACATTGCAGTGACTTGGGATCAAGCTTATTCTGAGCATAGGGCCTTAGATAAGGAAAGCAAGAGCAGCCAAAGACTCGTAGAGAGGTATAGACAGGTGTTTTCCCAAATAATTTTTCAAAAGGACTTATACGATCAGGATTTAATGTAGAGGGTAGATTACCAAGAAAGCAAGATGTGAAGAAGGCTTCTAACCAGAGCTGTTGAGGAACCTTACTCTGAAACATCACTGAAAGCCCGAGTTCAGTGATGTGCCTATGTTTACGCTCTGCTAAGCCATTCTGCTGAGGCGTGTGTGGACAAGACAGAAGTTGTTTGATTCCACAACTAGACAGATGAGATATAAACCGTGTATTTGTAAACCCACCCCCTCCATCACACTGAAACGTTTGAATCTTGTGACCAAATTGATTCTCAACAAGAGCTTGAAAGGAAACAAACACAGAAAAGAAGTCTGATTTTCTCTTAAGTGGATAAAACCAGGTGAACCTGGAGAAATTGTCAACAAAGATAACGTAAAACCGAAACCCTTGAGCAGACATTACAGGTGAAAGTCCCCATAGGTCGCTGTGAATGCGTTCCAAAGGTTTAGAAGCTAAACTCAGAAGAAACAAAAGGCAATCTACTAAACTTTCCCATATGGCAAGCCTCACACAGACGAGAGGATGCCTTATTCACTACTAAAGACTTGGTAGAGACAAGATGCTGAAGGATTTCCTTGTGAGGATGGCCCAGCCTTTGATGCCACACCTCTTCACTCGTGCTTTGCTACCTCAATGAGTAGAAAGCCATGAACCGCGGATCCTCCAGTACATACAAGTCTCTTTGTCTACGACCTTGGGTTAGCAGCTGGTTTGTCTTCTTGTCCTTAACAACGACAGAGTCAGAATCAAAGGTAAAGGAACATGGGTAATCAGAGGTGAGTTTGGAAACAGACAAGAGAGACTTAGTAATCCCGGGGCAAACCAAAACATCCTCAAGAGGCAAATGTTTACCTTGTGCAGTGGACAAAACAGCTGAGCCAACATGAGTAATCGGTAGGAAGTCTCCATTGCCAACAACGACTGATTCATCACCAACATATGCTTGAGCGTGCTGCAGTTGAGAGGTGGAGTTAGTGATGTGAGCCGTAGCACCGGTGTCTGGATACCATTCCTGACCCGAGTTGTTGTTGTCCGAAACCTTCATCGCTGTAAGAGCATTGGGGAGATCTGATGCTGCATAATCTTTTAGATCAAAACATTTAAGTGCCATGTGCCCATAGCGACCACAGAGTTGACAGGTGGGACGAGTATCACCAGAACCAGAGGGGAACTGTTGTTGAAAACCACGGCCACGTGTAGAGAAGGAGCCACGTCCCCTGAAGCCTCCTCTGCTGGACCCTCGACCTCTGAAACCACCACAAGTGTTGTTGTTGAAAGACTCCTGAAAGCCACCACGTTCAGTGTTGAAGGCCAAATGTGGAGAGACCGTTTCAGTGGTAGACAAGTAGCCCTGAAGCTTGTCATGAAACCCAATAAGCTTGTGAACAACATCAGCAAATGACAATGGAACATCAGAATCCATCGTGTTCTCAATCACAGTAGCAATAGACTCATACTTACGGCCTAGACCATTCAAAAAACCATAGATCTTTTCCTGATCGGAGATAGGAGCACCAATAGAGTCTAACTGATCGTAAAGTTCACTAATTTCAGACAGATAAGTACCTAATGGCTTAGTGCCCTTAACAGTGGTTTGAATCCTTCGTTGAATGTCTAACTTTCTAGTTGGAGACACCCTATTGTATTTCTGAGCAAGAGAAGACCATACCTCTTGTGCAGACCTGATACCGTACACAGAGCGAAGAGCTTCTTCTGAGAAAGATCCAAAAAGCCACACAAGGACTATCTCGTCGTTCTGCAGCCACACTGGAAGTTCAGGATTTGGAGCTTCTGTTACCACGTTGCCATATCGTAAAGTCACTGTTGGAGAAGGACGAGGTGTTGAACCGTTCACGTGACCCAAAAACTTCTGACTGTTGAGATAGATCTCAAACTGACTCTTCCACATAAGGTAGTTTGTGGAAGATAGTTTGAGAGTGACACACTGGTACACATTCAGAAGTGAAGAGAGGACAGCTGCAGGAACCGTCGAGACCGGTGGATACATCGTCGTAGTTCTGAGAGATGGCGGAGG